AATAAATAAATATATATATAACCAATTAAATTACATTATATTTTTGCGAAAGCACAGTAAAGCTGCCATCGTAAACAATATCGTTAAAATAAATAAAAAATTAATTGCCTAATTCTCAGCGAAATCAAAATGGGAATGCTTGGAAGACGAGGTAGACGAAATGATCGAGATCAGCCAGATTCTTCAAGAAAGAGTTGATTCAATTTGAGTTAATTAAACGATCAATTCACGTCTGCCTCTGACAAACTGGTGTTTGCAGACATTTTATCTTTACATTCCTCACATCTGCCTCGGAGCACAGATTGTGGTGCAATGCAAAATTGGTACCAAATCGACATTGCCACGATTGACAGCCAAACGACCCAATTTCCAACCTTTGAGGAAAAAGATTATGCGAATTTGGCTAAAATGCAAAGTTTATTTATGCCAATGCACTTCATGGGCCACATGGCAACGATGCGGGACGATATATTGTTTGGGGCAAATTTGATGAGCCTAACTTTAAGGAGCAACCTGATTAGCAACAGCAGAGATGGCCAGCCAACTCGCTGGCTGTGGGTAGTTTGTTGCCTTTTGGTGTGCTGAAGTAGGCAACTGTAGAAGAGTGCAATCAAGATGGCAAGTGTTGGGGGTAGACTCTGTTGAAGAGCAACCCGACCGACCGGTTCCCCATTTTATCGGCCCAGAACATGGGCAAGGCAATTGGGATTTTGTACACTTGGCCGGACCGACAACGAATCAATGCTGGGTCTGGACAAAGCTTCAACTGGTCGAATTTTTATTGCATAACGCCAAAAAAACTACCAGATGAACCTTTGCTCTTTAGCGAAACCAGCAAGACACCCTCAGTTGGCAGCAGCAGGGCTGGTCTGATCCGGCGCAACCGGGCCGACTTTAAATGCACAACGGACTGGCTGACATGAACCTTCTGTTGCGACGGTGATACAAGGCTGTAGACAAGACAAGGAATGCCGGAAGGCCAGACGGACTAATTAAACGAGATTTTGGAATATCGGATCATTTCAATGCGTACACAATGCCAGAGTCGGTGTTATTTTAGCTCAATCAGTCGGAGACCTGTCTGTGCCACCAGCAACACGGAAAATATACTACTTATTAATACTACTTAAGAACAGAGCTATTTTGACCGAAAAAGTAATGATTAGCATTCACATAGGGCTAGTTAATTGTCGATGATGTTCAGATCTAGATCAGTGGTGCGAGAGTGGCTGCTAGACGTCTGATAAGCGATAAAACTAGCAGATGATCGACAAATTCTGAAATTTTCGGAGAAAAATACAGACAATCTATTTTAAAAGAAGTTTTATGGTATTTATGGACTTTAATTTCTA